CAGGAGCCATGAGTGTATGGCTAGCTTATGCAATTGCATGTTCCACCCATTCTGCTGCGCAGATAGCCCTGTTGCTTTGCGCCAAAAATCTCTATTTTCCTACTGTGATAACACTGTTTTGACCCCATTATCACTGATGTCAGTGTTCAGTAAAAACTTGCAATCCTGACATGGAGCCTCCAATAAAGCAAGCTTTAAGTTTTGAAATGTCTTCTCACACTCATTGCTTCATCCAAAATGTGCTTCCACTTTTGTGAGAGCTGACAATGATATTGCTATCTTCGAAAATTTGGCGACAAATATTTGGTAGTAAAACGTAAAAGTAAGAAAACTGTTGACTTTCTGCTTCGTTACAGATGGAGGCCAATCTCGGAATGCTGGGTCTGTAGATATTCCATCTCTTCCTACTGTGTTACGAAGAAACTCCACTTCTGTTGACATAAGGAAACACTTTCTGAGCTTCAGTTTCAAGCCTGCCTTTTGAATGTACTAGAATGCCATCTTTAGGTTCTCAGATGCCAAAACAAACGTATGGCCAAACACTAGAACATTATTGACAAAAACCAGACATAACTCCCATTGTAATCCCTTGAGTGAATGGTATGACTTGGAACTCGAACAGTCCATCTCTCGTGTTAAAAGCCATTTTAGCCCTTCTTTCGTCGTCAAGCTCGACTTACCAATATCTCAAAGCCAAATCCAATGTGTTAAACCAACAAAAGCCTTCTAATGCATCTAGGTATTGATCTGTTCATACTAATGGGAAGGCGTCAATTCGCGTTACTCTATTTACCTTTTGGAAGTCTACACGGAACCAGCATTCCTCTTTCTTTTTGATAATGATTACTGGGGATGCCCAAGCATTTTAAAGGCTAACAAACATAATTCTGCAACATCTGCTGTATCTCACTGCTTGCAACCTCTCTTGTACTCGAAGGAACTCTGTGTAGCAGTTGCTTTGACAGACATGTATCACCTGTTCTATAGAGTGCTGAGTCACCATTGTTTGTCTCAATCGGCCATGCAATCCCTCAAACAGGTCATTGAGTTGCTTTCGCTGTGTGAGGTCTAGATTGCCTGCACAATCGTCAACCACCACTCTCAGGTGTGTGTCGGCAGCTTAGTATTTGCTCTCACTCATGGTACAACAGAAAAATCCCTAGCATCACCATTAACCTCAGTTATGTTCACCTTGTTTATCACGCCTAGGTCTGTTCCAATGTCCAGCTGGATAGCCAATTGTCTGCAATTACAGAGCAACACTGGGACATCACTCCTTGTTGGGTGGATCACTACTCAAGCTCATGCTTCCTGTTTTTAGGATAGGAAACAGTTTATCTCAGAGGTGGCTTCTATAAACCCATTACATGGCACCAATGCATTAGACTATGTCTGGATTAAACCATAGAATATCATTTGTATACTTGGAGGTACTACCATTCTCTCTGCCACGCACACTCGTGTAGTCTATTGATTCTGGGTTTGATCTGGGTGGCATTGGATGACTCTCCCATGGAACATCAGTTCACCTGTTGCAAAGGCAAACTGATGGATAAAATCTGCAATGCATCCATCCTGAATATGCCTATTCCAGATCCAAAGTCCGAGATTACTACCTTTGTTTTATGGGCAACATCTCCTATACTGAACCTGAAATTTGTCTCTCCTACATGTATAATGTCTAACCTATCGCCATTTGCCAGAAAAAATGATGTTTACTGGCTGGAGTGGTGGGCTATTTCGGAGGGCTTGAAAGATTGTAAGATCCACTAGGGTTCTCACTGCTCTCGTGTCTACCAAGAATTCAGTCTCTAGTCCTTGTACTCTTATTGGCACATACTGAGCTCCACAAACCCCTAACAGAGCTGTGATGACCACTAAACTCTTTAGTGCACTCTGTCTGCTGTATTCCCCAAGCCGATGGCCATGCCCAATTTGATTAGTTTCCTGAAGCATTTGTCATGACATTTACCACCATTTGCTGATACTTCTGATCTGACAGCCGATATCGCCAACCTTGCCTACATTGTATCTCATAAAAGCAATACTATTGTGGGTTAACAGGCATCTGTTGAGTTGTCAATTGAAACTGATAGCCCCTCCATCTTTGCTGGTTTGTAAAGCATGGGCAGTGTCACCGCCTGTGACCAATTTGTCCATAAGTGAAGCAGATGATTTTTTCTTCCTCTCTTGTTAGATATACAAGTGGATGCATTGATTATGGTAGTGGCAGGTAGCTCATGGGTAGAACTTGTTCTGATTGCATGTACCATAGTGTAGCTATGTTTCAGATCTGTGGTTTATGCTGTGGCGAATGCCACATTGGAGAAACTGAACTATCCTGCCCACTCACCAGAAACCAGTGTGATTGCCAAGCGTTTCTATTCTGTAGAAGGGGCAAGGGAGCAGCCTTCCTTGCTGGTCTAGTCCACAGTTGATGCACCTGATTTGGGCCTTCTATCAGGAAAGTTACCATTATAGCAGCCACTGCAGGCTTCTGTTTTTAGGAAAGCGAACTCGAAGTAATTACTTCATAGTGTGTGGCTATCGACACATATTCGACACACTATAGCTCTCATTCGCATGTGTCGTTGCATAAGTTTGTTGGATAAACCCTCAACAAAATTGCCAACCAGTATATCATCTTCCTAGCCTTAAACTCAACTCAATATATCGCACAATTCTCCACAGGGTCGAATCGGTGGTATAGTTTGTAGATGGTGATTGTTCAATCGTCCTGTTCTTCCTTATCCAAATGGTCAATTGCGTTGTGTGCTGGACTGTATAAATTCAGAATCAGGCATAGCACTGCCTGCTCCTTAATTCATTTATTCCAAGCAGTTACCTGCTCGAAACACTTCGGGAACTGGTCTAGGTTCTTTCATTCAATCCTCTTGGACATTGGATGTGGGATCTATCTGACTTATCTCAAAAGGCTCTGGGTGCCAGGTCCAAACCTTTCATACTCCTAACGAAGGCCGAGAGTATTTTCCACCAACCCTCTTTGTTCTGGATAGAAACCACTCACAGAGACATCAACCCCCCAAGGGGTGGTTGGTCCCTGGCCTAGGGCTACAGGGCAATTTGCCACTCTTAGGAGCTTTTTGTACACTTTTATATTACCCCAGGTATCTCGAGCTGTCGTCGACGTTAGGTCTCTCTCACCCTGTGGATCAAGGTTTTTGCTATTGCCACACCTGCATATGAGGCAACTCTAACTGGTGGACAATGTCCACTAGTGGCATGGTCATCTTCTGTCTTGACCAAAGTTGGGACTGCACTGCTGACAAAGGCCTAGGAGCTCGAAATAGAATTCTTCAAATGATCTCGAACTGTCTGGGTGTCAAACCATTCTGGCATACCTTAGTTGTATGCTCTTCCTTCTCGTCAATGTCGATCCTTAGGGACACTGGCTGATCAATTGGCCTGGGTGCTCCACATGTGAGCAAAGCTCCCTGTGTCAGTGGCTGCTGGTTAAATGACATCATGAACCTTGATAACATTGGTAAAAGTTCTATATCCAGGAGAGGACTTTTCCTAGACTGAGGCTAGATGCAATGCCTCTCCCATGCGACCATCTGTATCCACTCGTGAACTCTTCTTCTCGGTTCCAAGTGGCATTTCTGCGTCTAGAACATTCCATTTTCTTCTATAAAAGTATTCCTTAAAACTTCTAAACTCAAGAGGTTAAGTGAGGGCTAAAACATTCATCATCGTTCACAAAAACTCCACAATAAGTCCTGTCTGGCACAGCTTCAAAATTTCTATTATCTTTCAACTTGTGGTAGTTTGGGTCAAAACAGGTTTCAATACAAGTATAAGACAAGTTGTGTTTCGCAAGAACACCAGATTTATATATGAAATAGGGGGAGTGTTTTGTAGTTGATAACCTAAACTTATTTCCTTTAGGTGTGAATAATAAAAAGACTGGACAATATTTACAAGAAAAAATACACTCTTTAATCACGGCAAATAAAAACCATAGTGAGCATACCCACTCACACAACAAGACATTATTATTACTATGGTGGTCTTTAGCCTCTTAGCTTTCTCTTCCACAAGATCAACTACTAAAGAAACCAAACCGTTGTCTTTCAAAACACAGGCGTTTTACTTTCGATCGCCTGGTAGAATAAAAATAATGCACTCAATCTTCTAGATAAGCTCGTTCTCTTTGTCCAGTGCACAATGTCAACTCATGGTCTTTATCGCTGCACTACATTGGTCAGCTATGGCTTTTAGTGACATCTTTATGGGCCAGTGAACAGATATCACAATGGTAATCCTCAAAACTGGATCCTATCTGGCAGACGATACATCAGCCACTAGAGTAAAAAAGATAGAAGAGTGACTGGAATATCATAAATTTAACTATGGACCATGTGATGCCATAAAAGTACGGAACCTAATAACCGAAAAAAATTAACAATTGTATTACTGTAAAAGGTAGAAATTAATTTATATAGCCGTATATCACATGTCAAACTATTTGTTTATTATTTTTGGATTTTGGGAATAAATAATGTCAAAGCTTTGAAAGGCAATGGGTATATTGACAAAATTAATTTATAAGCATATTAATGAAATATTATTGCGCTTGTTTAAATTTTACTTGTTTCTCTTTAAATTTTTAAGATATTTGTTTTATACTATACTGTTCATATAAATTATTGTACTCATTTATCACATAGCAGTAGTAAAAATAAAAGTGCGGAAAATATTGGTTTTAGGCAGGCAGGAACAGTCCTACAGGAAAAACATCTTTTGGTTACATCTCAGTGTCTCTTCAACAATTATTCTTCATTTTATATCTTTCTGTGCAGTGTGGACATTTCTTAGTTTCTGCATGTTGCCTAAATCACAAAATGTACATTAAAACGTAATAATATAAGAAATATTTGATCTTATTTTCTAAATCGTGTATTATTATTCTTTGTTTATATCATATACAAATTGAAATGTATACACAAGAGGGCGCTAGTATAAGTGGTTGGTTACATTGGTGTAATGTTAGCGTGTACGAAATTATGTAAAGAAAGTGAAGCGTTCAGAATGCAAGAAGTGTTCATTTATGTTAAAAATTGTTTCTTTTCAGCACATTTCAGAAGGATAAGATTCATTTTTGATTTAGAAATGTCGGTTTTTAAATCATATGTCTGTTTTATGATTAAATTTTAAGAATGTTTAATAACTACTAGTACTAACTAGTGTTAATTTGTTAGTGTTACTACTACTAGTATTAGTCTAGTAACTCTACTTCATAAAACGTTTTAAAAGTAAAAGTTATAATCACGCTATAGTATACATTGTGTTGCTTAATCTTACATTTGGCTTAACAACTGTAACGTAACGTTTATTGTCATTTTTTATATAAATGAATTATTCAGATAACTACTTTTCCTAACTAAAAAAAACATTTTAACATAAATAGGTTTAACTTTATACATTGCCGCAATAAATAATTTCAATTTTAAAAGCAAGGGTTAGCTTTACACTTTAATAATGATAAATTAATTAGCTATTGTTTCTGTATTGGTATCACTGCATAAGTGGATGTATATTATTGTGAAGTTGCAAAGATTATAATAGTAATACATATAAGTTCTATGTATCATAGATTATGGTGTGCATTTATTGTGATTTTGGTATTGGTACTCAGATAATATGCTGAAGGAAGGTGATTATTCCTGAGTGTGACTGTGTAAGACTAAAGTGTGTGAATTAATTTGAAGAGTCAGAGTGGTGTGAATTTATTATTATCTGTAGGTTTTTAGATAGAAAATGGCATCGATTCAAGCTTGTAAAGATACTGCTGAAGCTGTTGAACTAAACGAATTATTGGGTTTCTTCTTGAAGCCACTAGCAAAATTAAATATATGTGTTCAGCTGCCATCTTTAAAAACCCCTGGAAAGTCAATATCTAATTGGGAGGTTATGGAAAAACTGAAGAAGATGGTCAAACCAGAAGAATTTATTGTTCTAAAAGTTAGTAAAACCACTTTAGAGTTTATCAGGTTTGAAGGTGAAGTTGAAAATAAAAGTACTCTAAAGGTTGTTTTAGGAAGACTAGATGGAAGCACTATAAAACTTAGTGGTTTTGCTGATGTATTAAAAGTGCGGGCTGCAGAAGCTAAGTTGACTTTTCCAGCAAGACATGATTGGGACTCGTTTTTTCGAGATGCAAAGAACATGAACGAAATGAAGCCAGGAGAACGTCCAGATACAATTCACTTTCAAGGCTTACCATGCAAATGGTTTGCTGAAAATAATTCTGACAGTGGAAAACCAAGCGACAAAATAATTCGACAGGTGTTTGAAGCATTTGGAGAAATTCGATGTATTGACATTCCAATGCTGGATCCTTATCGTCAAGACATAGATAAATCTGTAGGGAAGATCAGCACCTTCTCATTTGGACAAGATCTTACTTTTGAGGCATATGTACAATATAGGGAATATATGGGATTTGTGAAAGCAATGGATGCTTTGCGTGGAATGAAACTTATGTTTACAAATGAAAACAAATTCTATGCAGCAGTTATTAAGGTAAGAAGTGTAAAAAGTCTCATTTTACTCATCCTTAATGCATTTCCTGTAGATACAATGATTTTAAAAAATGCTGGAGACGGCTTGAATGGGTAATGAAGAAAAACTTTAATATAACAGGAAATGTACAACATTTCGACAAGGTTTTGTCATCATCACCTTGTCGAAACGTTGTACATTTGCTGTTATATTAAAGTTTTTCTTCATTACCCATTCAAGCCGTCTCCAGCCATTATTAGTCTCAAAGTGGGTTCCTCGTCATCGAATTTGAATTCATCACAATGATTTTGTTTGAAAATGGTGTAAAAATTATATTTTTCACATATCTTAAAGTTTCCTATGCATTTAGTAGATGTTAAAATAATAAGTTTACAACTGAAAGTTCAGTATTTAAAAATGTAGTCATAGTGTGTGAAATATAAGCAGTGTTTAAGGATGACTACTAATATTTAGAATGGACTATAAAAAACAAAATTGATCATTGCTATGTAATTGAAATGGAGAATTAAGCTTTAAAGGGAATAAGGGATATTTATGATTGTATCTTTTATGAAACTGATGAGACTTGTTTTAGAATATTTTGTTTAATTTTGATCCATCGATATTGGAGGGATACTGATGTGTTGGATATTGTACATGGATTGTCTACTGGGATGATACATTTACATGGTTTTACAAGATTTGAGCTTAGCAGAGTAGCAGGGTTCACAATAGAATTTCATGGCTGGGGATAAATACTCCTTAGAGTCAAATTATAGGAATATAAAGTGGAGGATGAAATCTTGACTTTTACTGATAGAGGTTATTGATGTGGGATTCACAGTGGAGGAATTAACCACTTTTGTTTCATACTGTCTTTTGTGTTGTTGAATTTTTATTTTTTGTGCGATCAGTTTAGTGGCTATGTGAAACATGAACCTGTTCTTCTCATTGTCATTTTAATATATTAACATCTTTTAAGAAAATGATTTTATTTAGCTTGTCAGTTAAACTTTACATCCCATTCCAAGATGATTAAAAATGTAAACCAAAATTCATTGCTGTCAAGTTTAGTTATTCACATCTGTTCATAAATAAAAAACAAAACTCAAACAATTATACAATTAACTGAGTATTAAAAATAATTTTTTCATTATTTGAATATACAAAATTAGTACAGTTAATTGGTCATAATCAGTTTGAGAAAAGGACTTACTGCCACAGCAATACATTTTAATATTGTAAGGGACCACATATATTCCATTTTCCCACGTGACTAATTGAGGGTTAAACTAATTATTTTTGACAACATTTATTACTTTTAGGTGGAATTTGATAAAACAAAACATCTTAGTGACAGGCAAATAAGAAAGAGAAGGCTCGAAAGAGAAAAACTTATCACTTTGGAGAAAGAACGAGAAGAAAGAGTTCAAAAAGAGCGTAAAGAGGAGGAAAAAAGAAAAGAAGAAGAAAGGTATACTTGAAAAATGTACATTTTTAGAAAATCAGAGAAGTTTTGTGATTTTGGTTGTCAGATTCCAACATTTTTGATTTACTTCTCAAATAGGTTTATTCTTAAAACTGAATGTGAGTCAGAATGAGGTATATTTGTACTCCCCCTTCTTGCATAGTTGTAGAAAAATCATATTTATTGAGCATGAAAGGTAAACATGCATTCTGTATTGTGTGTTATTTAAGTGGTATTGGTCTAAAACATGTTTTTAAAAAATAGGGTGATACATATTTTTAAGAGTTATGAACTTGTGAAATGGGTTGCCTGATAATTTGTCCAATTCAAATTTTTTAAAACAAATTCTTAGAATTTGTTATAAGTATTTAAGTATTCTTGGATTAGGAGTGATCTTAATGAACTAAGTGACCTTCTGTCACCATGCTTTTTTATATACTTAACTCGAAACAAAATTACTTTATCAAACTACAAAATATATTTATAACTGAATGTTATGGTGAATATTAGAAATATTTCAAAAATAATATTTATACTGTTATATGATGAATTAAAGTAATGATGGTTATTAACAAACCTTATCTTTACTCACAGAAAAATAGTTCATAAGTTACCTAATCAATCTCAAAATCCATATGCTAAAATACTCTGTTGTCAGTGTGTACAAATTTTGCATTTTCTAATGTAAAAAAACTGGTAACTTAACAATGAGGTGATTTACTACATTGATCAACAAAATGTTCTTATAAGTGATCATACGGATAAAAGTTTTTAATTATTCTGCAATTTCTCTAGTTTTTCTTAGCTTAAGTATCTGTACATGTACATGGAATCTCAAATTAATCATGAAGTTTGGAATTTTAATTAAAAATCATTTCAAGGAAGTTTTTAGAAGTTGGAAAATATTTGTTATTTTTGTTCAAGTTTTCAGCATTTCTTTAATTTTCCCAGTGGCTCAGCAATAAGCTTGATTCACCAGTTTCTACATATAAAATGATCAGAGAAACAATGACAACTTTTGAAAGGTGTTTAACAGTTATAGGTCTTGTCACAGTAGGTTATTACTGCTTTTTCATTTCTTTTGACCAAACTTGCATGTGGGGAAGTTAAATACAAATGTTTAGTTACATTTTTGTGATTGTTTATGCATTATAAAGATTTAGAATATCACTGTATTTGAATTGTATTTACTTACTGTTTTACATGTGTTTGTTTATTGTGTTCTGTTGACAGAACTTACATATTCACGTGCATTGCCAGGTGGGTGGGTTGTTGGGTGTGAATGGTCCTTTTGAACCTCAACTGCATTTTGATGGTCATGGAAAGTTAGAGCTAGTGCTGCAAAACATTTCTGATCATGGCACTGTAATTTTATATTTATAACCTCTCATGTTTGTTTATATGTTTCTTCAATTTAACCGAAACCTTGTTATGGACCATGTATTTGGACTGCTACTGGCTCATGGATTATTAGGCCTACATGTCTGATTGACTTCAGAAATGACCCCTCCCCCTTGCAAAATTTCCTTGTAACACTCACCATATTAACAATAATGTTTTAAAATTTGCACAAATAGTAGAAATGTACCAGTGTCTGTTTGACTGAAAGATGTTATTGCGGTGGTTTTTCAGTAGGGGTAAATATTCTGCTGAATAAATGTCCAAAAAGTGTGGAAATAATTATAGGGTTTAGAGAACTTGGGAAGAATAATAGGTCATAGAAATGCAGTAAAAGGGAAAAGGGCAAAAAAAATTAGGAAGGAATAGGAGAAGAAAAAAAAAGGAACTACAACAGCATAATGCTTTTGTCAACCAGTCAGACATGGTGAGGAATTAGAGAAGAATTTTAGAATCTTTGACTGAGGGTATGTAAAAAGTATAATTTCTGGGTATCAGGCAGGTGGTAGCACTGCCTATGTAGTGATGGCTCCAATTGTTCATCAAAATTGTATTTAAAATATCTCCCCAATAGGCCATCAGAAATTTACAGTACTATACAGTGTTTTCTTTTATAACAATATCTATGTAATGACTGAGTTGCAAGTTCTGGGAATGTCTGTATATATTACAGCAAAAAGTTTGAATTTCTTGTTCTTTTTTATTACATTATAGCTCAAAAACTAAAACAATGGTGTCAATCAAATTCACTGAGGTGACATAGTTTCAAACGAAGTATCTGCTTTTATAAGTATTATTAACTAGTAGTAATTTTAAAAAATCATAATTCTAGTGTAAATGATGTTATCATTTCCCCTTGAAGTTAGCCTTTTTACATTATTTTGCTGTTCCTTTAAAAAGCTTAAGTACAGGGTGAAACAATAATAACCAGCCTTTTTTTACTACCTTTTTTTGAAAAGTTTTTTCTTTACTTGTATCTTTTTTATTAAAATGAAAATTTTAATGAAAATCACATACACCTGTAACTGAGCCTATTTGTAATATATTATTATTTATAAATAATCAACTACTCACACAACGTAATTTTGTATATAATAAAATGAAACAAAATAGAAGTCAGTGGTTGCTTGGTTTTTATGACAGGTCCTGCATTACATGAAAAAGTCTTGAATTTGTTAAATCTTGTCTATGGGGTAGCTAACTTCTCCATGGAACTTGATTTTGACATTGCTTATATATATATATATATATGTATTGTATAAAATTTAATGTTTGTATGGGATTAATATTTTTATACATTTAAATACTGTATGTCAAATTCATTGCAAGTGGTATAAAGGTTGTTAATGTCTGGCTGTCCACATTTATGAAAAAAAAAGGAAATTATTCATTAAATTAAAAATTCAGAGAATTAACAAACAAAATGTTTAAAAATGGATATAAGACATAAGAAAATAATGTTAATGTTAAAACAACTGTGTAATCATCTAGTTGACATGTCTGCTAGCTTATCTGTGAGTTGGTACATTACTGGTAGATTCTATTTGTTACTACGATGAAAGGAAGTACTCTATCGTAATTAAAAGTAAACTTTATAAATCGGATAATGTACTTTCATTAAATTTTACTCTGTTTATCCAATTTTTGTATTTGTTACTGTTTTACAAATGTATACATATAAGGTAAAGAATAAACTAGGTGGAAGCAGCAGCTTAATACAGGGATGAGAATTGGCCATCCATGCAATTCTTTCAAATTCAATGAGAAAAATGTAGTGATGGGTTGAGGTACTGGGGCTGGAGACAAAATATGTGTACTTATTGTCTTGATCCAACATTGCTTTATCTGCTTTGATATTAACAATAAAGTGAAATAGATATGTGATGCTCCTTTTGACTGACTGATTGCTGGACAGCCAACCAGACATCTTTTGAAACCGAGGGTATCTGATTGCCTCATAAATGCACAAACCCTCTAAAGTGCAATTACAGATGATTGAAAAGGATAAGATTGGCTTTAAATCTTCCACCATTTTTAAAGGGGTTCAAGACCCATTTTTTGCAGATTTCAATGGTTTTATTTCATAGCTGTGTAAAGCTTCAGCAAAAACATCTGAAGTTAACACAACTGTATTGTCACATATTTCATATGACTTTAAATCTTTCACCATCTTTATTTTTGGTGTTTACTTTTTGCCCAGATGTTCAGAATTACCAACATTTTTCTTTTATCAAAGGTTATTTTTATAGGTGAAATCAGTTAGAAGGGATTTAAGTTGGACAGATATAGAAGTAATAGGACTAAAGTTTGGTGGAAGTTGTAATTTTTCATTGATCCAAAGAATATGACCATACATTACAGTACTTGTTTAGATCTCATAAAATATTACATTCATTTTTTTGATATTCATGCTTACCATATGTTATTAAGTCTAAACTATTATAAAACCTGAAAATAATTTTTTATGTGTTAAATTTTGATATATTAAGGCATCTTTGTACTTAAGTGCAAGTCAGGGGTTCTGTTGAACAAATTTCATAAAATAAAAATGAATTACATCAGCATTTGTGTCTTGCTGATGTAATCTATTATCATGTCCCTTTATTTCATTTTTATTAGTCAAAATATATTGAAAAAAAATAGTTGTCACAATGTACAGAAATAACAATATGGTACATTACCTCCTCTCACATAAATAGCTATTCTCATTCAGTGCTGCCCTCTATGTACAAAAACATGAGTAGCTATTTATATGAGAGGAGGTAAATACCTATTGGAAATACATTTTCAGTATAGGAAAATTATAACTAGCATGTATCAAATTGCTTTAAAATTAGCACACAAAAAAGGCTTAGTAGGATAGGCAGAAATTCATGTGTGAATGTGTGAGATATTCCATATCTGCCTTTAGAATCTCAGTTTGTAAAGGATTGATCAGTAATTTGCCATTGGAAATTTATTTGTACAGGTCTTGGTACTTTATGATTTTACCAGTTTGTACTTAACTGGGCTAATCATTATAATTATAATACTTGCATGTAATATTCTGTTAAATATATTTCATGAAATCATTGTTTTATATATTAACTGGTTTGATATTTTGATCATTTGAACATGAGTTAAAATGTCAAAAGTCTAGTGTTTACTGATCATCCTTGCAATGAAGAATGTAAATATTTAGTTCCCCAAAATTTATAGTAAGATATCTGCAAGTTCCTGGGAGATATGCTGAGGAATTAGGTTTCATTTTTCAAAGGCACAATTTTACATAAAGCAGAGTGGACTCTTTTCACTGTTGATGATCTTCTAACCACTGTTGTGTTGCCTGATAAGACTTATGGGATAATCACTATGTTGTGATAACCTCTTATATTGTTTCTTTTGTAAAAAAAAATATGTTGTGTTCTTTGAGTTCATTAAAGGACCTGTTAATCTGGCTCCTACAATCTGTCGTCTTTGAAAGTCATTTCCTAGAGTGTTGGTTGACAACTAATGTCAAATAGAGCTTACATATGTTTAGATGATACAGATAACCAGTCTAAGAAGTCATTGGAATAACAAATTAATCAGTCTGCTGAGGTTTAGTCCACTTAATGTGTAGAATAATGGTCACATCTTTAATCAGGCATTTTTGTCCAGCTTCTATATATGTTTATAATTTGTGTGCTTTATAGACAGAAACTGAAAAAAGAAGAAGAAATTAAAGATCATAAACTGAAAGAGAAGCTATTGAAAAAGAAGGAACGGAGATTGTTGAAAGAGCAGAAAAGAAAAGAAAAACTTCTTGAAAAGAAGGAGAAAGAAAAAGCCAAAGAATATGCTCTTCAACAGAGAAGGGAACTTGTACTGCAAAGAAAGGAACAAGCTGTCCATCTTCTTAAAAATCTCTTTGAAAGAATAAAGGTATTTGAAAGATTAGTTTATAATTTTACTCATTGATGAAATGTAACTTCATAAAAGGTAAACTTTAGTTTTAGGGAAAAAATTGTATGATTTTTATCTCAGACTCTTAGATCTTTTAATGGAATAAAAAAGTCCTGTATTAAACTAAAAATATCCTACAAGTTTGCTATTTTAACCCTATCACAATGGGTCATGTATTAAAGATCATGTCATCGTGTTTGTTGACTTGCATTCAAAATTTTATTGAAGTAGTATTTTTGAATTTATGTCAATATGTTTGGTATCAAATTGTAGATAATTCAAATTTTAGTATTATACATTAGTTAATTTCTTAATTTAAAAGTAAATATTAAAAAACACATTTAAACATAGATTTTTGTGTGTCACATGGTATGTTGAATGCAGCACTGGTTAAAATTAGATGTTTGTAGTGTCAAAATACAAAGTCTATAGTTTCATATTAATTAGGAACTCAAACAAGTTCCTTCAAAATGAGGAAGATTTAATGCATGAAGTTTGAAAACCGAGGAAAATATGTAATCTGTATACTCATATATACTATAGAAATATAGTAAAAAAAAAGCTTTTTTTAACTGTAAAATAGATTTACAATTGATTCCAGATATTTAATGCTTACCAGCATATACCAAAAAGATTTTGACTTTTTCCTGTTTTAATATATTCACACTATTGAGAAAAATTTTCTACCTATTTTTTGGTTTAAGTTCAGGCTTTTGAACTTAAGACTGATATTTTCATTAACGAAAACAATTATGGAAAAGTTTGAAAGAGTACATATGATAGCTGATGGATATGATTAATATAATTTATTTATGGTCACTGGGGTTCATTTCTTGTATGGGAAAGAGATTTACACCTTAGGAGAATTTATACTTTTGATTTAGGGTGAAAGAATGGCCCCAGATTTGGGGAATGGAGCCAAAAAACATATTGTAGATTAATCAATGCCTTACTATACTTTGTGCCATGAGCACAAAATTGTCCATTATCACAGATTAAATTATCATAAAATATACAATAAAATAATATAAGTAGTTGCATATTAATGATTCTGTGTCTGATGTGCTGAGTAATTTAGATTTATGGTATATATATATTATGGAATTATTTTGTGATTAAGAAAGGATATAAAATTATATAGTTATTAATTTCATATTTTTTTCTCTTCTTGATATATTAGTCTATTAGAAATAATTATATTTTTTGTGTTGGTAAAGATAACATTATATCTAAGAAAAGTTGTCTTTCTTTTTTCTTTATCAATTTTATACAAGAATTGTTTAATCCGATGATTTTTTTTCTGATGCTTCAGTGGTGATATATTGGTTGAACAACCTCATATTTATAATTTGTAAATAAAATTTATTAGATTAGAATTGTAAAATAAATGCACAGTTACTTTCGGTGGCTCAGTGGTAAGTTTGAGGGCTTATAGCATTAAAAATTGGGTTTCAGTACTGCAAATGGACACATCATAGATAGCTAATTATGTAGCTTTGAGTTTATCAACAAACAAAAAAAATTTCAGTTTTTAAACTTTAGTATTTTAAAAAATTAACTTTTCCTTTCTGTTTAATAAATCTAGTTTGTGAAAAAAATTATGAAGTAAGTTGGAATAATATTACATAATGACATCTAAAAATGTTTACTGGATGGATGTTAATATTACCCAGTTTATTTTAAACCTCACAAGTGCGCAACAAAAATTGATAATTTATTTCACCGTATTAATGTTTTGTTAGAAAATCAAAATTTCACTCAGAGTTTACACTGAGATTTGAATCAATTATTGAATTACTCATTGCTAGTGTCATAGATGTGTGTTACTTTAGGTTAAGTTAGTTAGCATCTGAAAGTGCAGACATGAGTTGCAACTAACAAGGAGAAAATTTTCTACAGAATGAATTAAAATATAATGATAGATATACCTGCTTTAAAAACTCAAGAAAACGTAATATACAAAATTTTTAAAACTGAGATCGCATTCATAATTAAACTGACCAAGTTGCTCCTGAGCAAATATATTCTTATGCTTTTGTAGGTTAATACGAGTTCTTTTAATATGTTTCTTTAAAGTTGTTTCTAATTCATGAGTTTCTAAATATTGTAAGAATAAAAATGTTAAGGTTTTTGTATTATCTAAATCATTTGTGTACAAACTAGCTTCTAGAAGTGCCTGAAGACAAAAGCTCTAGTTGACATAGCACAGTCCTCGCAATGAACATAAGTCCTTTCAAAGTATACTGCTTATAATGTTTTTATTTTGAAGTTTACAATTTAACATGAGTAAACAACTCTTTACTAATAGAATATTCACAACAAATTATAGTTTATTTAATCTTCAACTTTATGAAAAATTACATTAATGTCAGTGCTCACTAGTAGTAATGTAAAAATGCACCTGATCCAACCACAAGTTCCCACATGACTACAAATTGGTTTGTATAATCTGATTGTACATAGAGGCACTTGGATACATCTTCAGCTGAACCTGATTTTGTGACTGAAGCTGATAGTAAAGGTTTTTTGTCTACAATGAATTGAGGGATAGAGCCTGCTAAACAAAGAAGTTTATGTGTAGTGAATATTTTATTTTTTTGACAAATGTTTATATGTATTGATTTTGCGTGAGCCAACCATATCTTCCATCTTTAAGTTGGTGGCTTTTTTTGTTCAAGAGCTGTGACTCAAAGGGTTTTAATTTAAATATATAAAAAAAATTGTAAAACAAAAAACTGTACATGCTAGGATATTGACAGGTGTTATGATTTTTCCCCCATAAACCAGTCAGTTGTTCCACATTTCCTACTAAGTGCATAATATTGTTTCTAATGTTTTTCTACATTGAAATATTTATCTACTTTTACATTTTTCTTATGTTTAATCCTGCAACATATTCTAAGTTATAACTCCTATTTAAAAACTTCTGTATCAATCATACATGTTAATAATATTCATAAATTATGATTCTTAACTGATTCAATTATGATTCAATATTTATTTATTCTAGCTCCTTAAGCAAAGAGAAGAAGTCAAAAGAAAAATGGAAGAGATTGAAAGAGAAAGAATTTGTCAACTTGAATTAGAAAATAGGAGACGACTAGAAGAGGTAAAACATCGGTTGGAAGAGGAAAAGCAGCAGCAGGAACGTCTTAAGAAACGTGAACATCTTCTGAGAAACAAATTAATTAAAAATTTGAAAAAGCATGAAGAAAAAAAGACAGAAGAAATGAGAGAAAAATTAAGAAAAGAAATTGCGGGTAAACGTGTGCTTAAAAGTGTATTGGTAGCAGCCCCAACTTCATCTAAATCATTATCTTCAGAAGATTTATCATCATCAATGACTGGAACTAATTTTGATAGCTTTCATCATAACTTCAGGTCATCTTTCAATTGTAATAGAGGATTTTACAGAGGAGCAAAATCTTACCATGGTCTTGGACCATTTAAGAGAAGTAGCTGTTATGGACTTAGATGGACATTGCCTTATCCACAACCTTTTCCACACATGAAACAACAACTTCAAAACAAGGGAACATTAAAAAGTTATTATAAAAGCCATTGTAATAGGTGATAGCATTTTGTTTATCTAGTTTATGAATGAAAAACCTATTTTTCATTTTCATAAAATGAAATTTCAATTGTACATATCTTTTACATGCTACTATTTACTATAACAATGACAGGATATTGGTACAAGATATTTTTAAATAGAAATTTGGTAGAAGTCATGATATAAAGAAAATATTTCTGCATTTCAATAGCTAGAACATTTAATTCTGTAAAGGCATAAATGTCATTGGGGTTTTTAAATATATAATTATTTGATTAAAAACATAAGCTATTGGGCTTTAAACAGTTATATAGATTTTGTAATTCAAAAACAATGACATGGTAAACTAGTGAGGTTATATATAATCTATTGTAGGAAACTGAAAAATGTTTTTAGAATAAATTTAAAATTTTCTGATCTTCACCAAAAAGCAGTTGATGTTTTATGTTATTATTGTACATGATTTTTACATAATTAAATGTAAATTATAACTTTTTATAAAGCATTGAGAATTTCAATTTGTGTTTTTTTTACATTTCAACAATCATAGTTTCTATGTTTAAGTTGGTGGCTTTTTTGTTCAAAAGCTGTGAATTAAAGGATTTAATAGGCTATTATATGAGCAAATTGAATAACATTTTGTACTAGGGGTATGATCACCAAAAATTGATCTTGAAATTCAATTGCAGAAATGATACTAAACAAAAGTTTAATGATAAGAATTTACGATTTTTTTAGAGCAAAATGTTAAGTACAGATGAAGATTGGTGTATTAACGAGCATTAGCTATGTATTGGGAATGTTAGCTAAGTAGCACTGAGTTGTAAACAGCTTTATTCAGAATGTGTGTACAAGATAAAACATCAGGTAGTCTGTTGGGTTTTGATATTGATTTTACACAAACAGAAAACTTCTTCATCTTATAGTGAAGCACACAGTGGAGCTAATAGGACACTCTTCACCTGATAGAATGCAGCAGAAGTATTGATTGTACTTCAGTTATATTTTTCTTTAATTTGTTACTTGATATAATTGTTTTGGTTGCTCTGCTATATTTTATAATTTGTTTTCCTATATTGATCAATAATTGATCTGCATTATTGGGTAAGGTAACAGAAGATATTGTCTTTAATACTGAAATGCTGAAGGTAATTATACTACTAGCTTTATCAGTAGTCAAAGGGTTCACTTTCACATGATTTTTGACTTAGTAAATATCTTGTCAAAAAACATCTCTGATATCATATACATTTCTGCATTCTTTTGTGGCAAATTCACTTTGTCATCATCACTATCTTCAGTTAAGACCAAAAAGTCATTATCAATAAAATCCATATTATCATTTTTCTTCCTCTACATCTTCATCACTGATATTCACAATATTCTCATGGTAATTTGGCTGCGGTCATCTACAGTTTTTTTGCATTATTAATACTTGCCAATACACTTTTTGTCTGCTTTCCCCTTCTCTGATTCAATTTAGCAGAAATTGATAGTCTATCATATTCACAACCACAGAGAGAATGCTAAGCATTTTGAACGTCCGAGCTGTTTACGTTTGCCAGATAAAGGTTCCATTTTGAAGTAGAATTGCAATTTTTTTTACAGTCGTCAGCAATTTTATTGCTTTGTTTTGGAGCAGCCAGTGGTCCACTGAAGCTAAAAGTAGGTTAAATTGTTGTCTTTTTGGCTAATGACATTGCTTAAAAAAGGAAACCAAAAAAGCTATTTCTGCAGTGGGTCATTTTTTTCTGACCAACATGAGCTTACCCAATTTGCAGGTATGTGTAGTGTAAAAAAAATTAGAAAAAAAAATTAAATACAATTTAGCAGAGTATAATATGATACTTATAAAACTGTCATCATAGCTTATCCTCTTTCTTTATCCAAAACTTTTATGACAAAGTACTTCAATAATAATTTATACATAAATTGACTACATTTATCTGAAGGAATTGTTAAATTCTTGTTTTGTTTCCTATTAGTAAGATTTTTTGAATTTGTATGTATTCTAGTGCATGTGATAATGAAGAGAGCAAAAGACATCCTCTTTTTTTTCATCCAAAACTGTTTTCAAAAAAATATTTTAAAAAACTGATATGTACATTGATGATACATTTATTCACAGAAACTGGTTAAACTATGTTGTTTTTCACATTGCTAAGGTTTGTTGTATCTGTATGTATTCTGAAATAAAATGATATTTTTAAATAAAACATTTGATGTGAAGAACATTTAACATTATTTTATTTCATTTATTACACTGTTAATTAATGAAGTTAATAACAGTAAGTGTAAAGTAAATATTTTTTCCTGAAATGGTAGAGCTTTACAAATGGAAGCTACATATTTCTTCAGTTTTATGAATGTAAAAATGTATGAAAGATCAACAGTATTGGGCTTGATAGTCTTTGCACAGAATTGTTGATGACATATTTGAGAAATGGTATTTAAGAAAAGCTACTTACCTCTCTGCACCACAAAGAGCTGTTACCTTGCTCTCACTGCTGTGTAATTCTTTGCAAATGCCACAAGCCTCAAAGGAAGTTCACACCCATACATGTTCGATGTTTATTGCACCATATTATGGTGTAATTATCACCAGCCCTCCACCATTAGGAGGGCAACACATCCTCTATGTGCAGTAATTCCCAAGAGTACTAGCATGTGAACACAGGTTTATTATTTCCTTTGCATTGTTAGTGTTCAGGTGGTTTTGTTTTTCTTGTACTTCTTTAATCACTTCAAAAAAAGACAACGTTTATTGATTTGTGGGTCCTTTTTTCACCATGAATTCCTAAGTTTAAGTTTTTACAACATCCCGAAGTTCAGAATTCCATTTTAAAGCTCTCCTTCTGTTGATTCAGTGACGACTGGAGACACTTTGTCAACGATTTAACTACCATTGCACATCATATAGTTGTCATTCTTCTACTTCATTCCTCTCTTCTCTAGGACCCTTATCCTTCTGTTTATTGCTTCTGCTGAGTCTGTCTTAACTAGTGATGACTTCAACTAACTCTTCCCTCTGCCTGCTTTTACTTCTAGTTCTTCTCTTCTTGATGAGGAACAGATACATCCATCTTCTTCCTTTGTAACTGTAATTACTCAGGTATGTGACATCCTTTCTTTAGTATTTGAGTCTCGGTTGCTTTGCTTCATGTGACTTCATATTTTGGCTTTCTTCTCCCCCCACCCCAGACATTCGTGCTTATGCTAATGATTTTCTGTCCTAACTGCACGTTGATCCACGTAAGCCTTGACTTCCTTGCCTTTGTGACTTTTTTCTATAGACCATGGTCATGTTCCTTCAGTTTCTGGAATCTCTCCTTTTCACTTGGGTGCTCCCCTTTCTTCCTACTTTATCTCTTACTTATCTCCAATTTACTTGCATTCATCTTACCATTACACTGGTCCTTTGCTGTTTGTCTATGTCTCATTTTCTCTCAGAGGCTCTCCATTGCAACCCCAATAATTTTGATGGAGACACTCATTCTCATTGTTTGCGGTCTTGGCCTCAATCAAGGGACATGGTAGTGTATCTTGTGGCAAAAAAAAACAACCAGCAGGACACTGTGATAGTTTAGTGATTTTCCACCTTCTCTATCTCAGACTGTGGTAATCTGAACTATCACATACTTTCAGTGGATGTGTGCTACTATTGAGTATCACTTTCTCATTTGGTGTATATTGACAAAAAGTCATGATATCTAATCAAAAACACCTTTGGTGTGAAAATAGGTGCGGCCAAAAAAAAGAATTGAGTGTGTGACTTAAAGAAATGAAATCAAAATGGTAGCCACACTTATAGTATTGATAGGAATTTTACATCAAATATTCATTCATTAGTTAGCTAGGCCACGTATTTATTTTACCCACCATCATCCCCAAATTGAACAAAACATCTTTTAAGATTACTTCTGTGTCTCCTGTCAGCTTGGGTCCTGAAGGAACTCGGTTTTCCATATTTGCAAACCTGTGGACTCCCTTTATTAATAATCTGGGGCTCATGCAGGTGCTTTCTCATGGTCTGTCCCTTTGTTTTTGTACATCCCCCTCTCCTTTCTTCTTGTTTGGTCATTTTTCAACCTCCCTCTGCTCCCATACATCTTCAGCATCTTAAGGATGCTATATCTCCAAGAAGACTGGGGATGGGCACCCTATTATCAATTTATTGTCCTAGAACTCTGAAGTGAAACATTGTCCAATGTTTCAAGAGAATCACTCCATTCATATAACTGAGTAGCAAGAACTCTACAGAGCATAACACCTTGTACTTGCTACATTCTCACCTATATACCTAGAAAGCATGCTAATTCTACATGCTGTGAAGGAATTGTGCTTTTCTTGAGTATAAGTTGACATACAGTAGTAGCAGCATGAGTAATAGTCCTGGCTGATGAGAATTTTATATGAAAAAGTCTTAATTAGACTTAGTTTAGCCAATGTTTTGTTAAAAACAAGTTGTGTTTGATGGTTCTTAGATGGCAGCACAATATGGGACCACTACAACTGAAATGTAGTTATGGAAAGCAACCCACTTGGGAGTTGGAAACAGTCTGTTTTAAGCTACTAGAGTAAGTGACAATATGTAATTGTGTTATAAGCATATAGCAATATATGTGTGTGGTTTTGTATACATATATGAACATTGCACAAAATAATTCATGAGTGTTGTATAACAAAATTAATCAATTACATAAAGAACACAACAGTAAGCAACATGCTTCTGAGAGAAAATGCAGCTTTACTTGGTGTTTTCGTAAAAGTAGTGCAAGATATTTAGATTAAATCAAATGGAAATATTTGAGAAAGTGAAATTATCAATAGTAAATGAAATTCATGAACAGTAGCTTAGATATTACAATAGATGCAGAGTTTGTGTAGCCTGTGTTTTGTTTGATTGTGATGGAATGTTTTTAAACACACACACATTGAAATATTTTTAATAAGCACAGTTCTACTGAATATTTTCTTGACATTCTTTTAAGCAACAAGGTGCAGTAATAATGTACGAAAATGCAGGCAGTAAATGTACTAGGACATGGAAAGTGACAACCATATGGTGAAAGTTTTCTAACTCGCACCTAAAAATAGTACTAAACTTGCAACTTTGAGAAGGTTCCTAAGGAGAGACGAGTAAATGTTAGTGAATTCTAACAGTCAAAAGTAACGATTGGTATCACCTTAATGAAGTTAGCTCATTTGCAGTCTCAACCCCTATTTCTATTTGCTGGAACCATGTTCTATCCAGGTGATAACTAGATATTTGGGGAGGAATGAGGCTGGATTAGAGAGGTAAGCTGTGTTGTTTGTTGTCCAGCAGATACAACAGAGGGCAGCACAACTAAAGGTATTGGAGTCCCAATGAAGCCTGAGGATTGGGAAGTTCAACAGGCATTGGGTATGTGTTTTGGTCAGTGTTATAGAGCATGAGTACATGCAAAACCTTTAGAAATCCAATTTGCACAAGACACCAAGTTTTGACTCTCTCTAAAGATTTTATAGGAGGTCATGACAGTAATCAAGTAGTTATGACCATTTTCAACCTTCGCATACCTGACTGACATTTTGACCAATTAAAATTCAACTGATGTTTTTTCAATCCAGACTTTGCAATTTGAAAACGAATTTTTTATCATTCTGGCTATATCGTTCTTCAACTAGCTAGTGCTAATGGTCAGCTCTCCTGCTTTATTAGTAAAGTATGTTGATGCTTATCTTTGAACTGCATGATGAA